TCTCACCGCTTTCTAGGCATATACCGGCATATTTCACATCAATCTACTGCGGTGGGTCGTCAGAGAGCTCAAGATTGTATGTCTAGCACCTGTCCTTCCGAAGCCTTCGATCCAAGTAACTATGGGGGTGGGAGACTATGTCCATTCCAAGGAGGCTGGTCCACCTCGTCAATCCAGAGCTGATGCTTCGAATCAGTCCCGGCAGCTCTTGGCGCAGCAGGCGAGAGTTGAAGTTCCCCAGACTCAACTTCTTGCTCCCGTACCGGTGGGGATGAATGGAAGAGCACAATTGGATGCATACGGGGGAGTGACATTTCCGGAGTCGTCGCAGGCAGCCCACGAGAGTGCCGTGCACAGGGACATGTTTGACACGGACGTTGAGGGGATTGATGACTCAACTGTTGCTGGAACAAGTGTGGTCGATGTTGAAGAGATTCCACAACCGCAACAGCAGCAACATCACTTGCCGCCAGTTCCGAGTGTGCAGTATCAGGAGCCGGAAGGGAAGTCTCTCCATCAATTCCGTCATGGACGTCGACCATATTCATCGAACTGGTATGAGAACCTGGGAGACAAAGCCATGAAGACTGCGGGCTTTGAATCAGATGATGGCGACGATGATGCCAGCCAGATGACGTCCGTGGCGGGCGACGACAAAGCTGAAGATAACAACGACTGGTACATTTCTCATGAACACCGTCATGCCGGTGAACCTCTAAGCAAACGTCTAGAAGGCTTCTGGAGTGCCAGTAAACGAACACATACTAAACCTGGCCACCAGGCTCAGGGGGAATCGGCGAAGGTCCCTACGTTTTCATCAGCAAACGCAGGCAGGAGAATTGTCCTCCCTCGCAGTATGACAGCCACTCCGAGGACGCGTTTCAGTCCACCAAAGCCGTCCCTCCTTGACAAGCTGGAAATCTCTCCAACTCGGCGCACCACTGGCCCAAGAGCACAACCTCAGAGAAAAGACAGCATTACCGGGTTTCACTCCCATGGACCAGAGGGAGACACAGAGCTATTCGCAAATGATCACGGAAGACGGGACAGCGAACCATCCATAACTGCGTTTGACATTACCCATCTCGACGATCTCGACGACGACGAGACGGTCCGCGATCCTTTCTCCAGACGTGCTTCGGTCAAGCGCATAACCTCGGATACGACCCAGGCGAAGAAGCGAACCCTAGAAGCAGACTATCCCCCTGAAATACTATCTAAGAAGACTTTTGAAGAACTCCAGGCTGAGCCGTTTGATTTCGATCCCGCCACTGCACGAGCCACTGCTACCTTGAATCCATCACAGGATCCATCTGGATCCACAGAAGAAGACAGAGTCTCCTTGCTCATGAAACTATCCAAAGAGGACCGCCAAACATATCTTTCAAATTTATCCATCGATGAATGGGAAGAGTGCGGCGATCAGTTGCTTGAGCAATTCTCCAAGCTACTTTCGGAAATGAAGGAACTACGCCGCGCTCGACGGAGGACGGCTGCTATGTTTGAAGCGGAAATAAGGAGAAGACATGATGCTGTTCAGGAGCAAAGCTCTGATTTAGACATGAAGTTGAACGAAATGAGGACGGGCGGTGCAGAGGTGCTGCGTGGCCGTACCCCTTGAAGCACAAATCATTACAAGTCAACGCAGCAATACTATCAACCCTGGTGGTTGAAGAGACCTTCGTAATGAGACCAGCTGCTGCTCTTATTTCTCTTTGTTTCACCTAGTTTGACACCTCTGAGACAGGTCATGTCATGATACTATATGCTGCTGCAAGCAGCCATGAGGATGTCATACTAAAAATCACCTTGTATTCCACCATCTTACGAAATCTGCTTGAGACGGGATTCTGGGATTCGGGTTTCACACTTAGAAGGCATATGTTAATAGCATCATTATACCCTGGTGTTATCGGATTATTGATTGATGAATACGTTTTCCTTTCCTATCAGCACTTCGAATTACGTCAAAATTGTACTCGCTAACTCCCGATAATGCTACCATCCTTGAAATGACGCTAGGGCTTATGTCTCCATAGCCTGAAAATGAACGCCATCTGCAATCTATCATATAGTTTCGTGAACGCCGTGAGATGAAAAACCCAGTGTGAGAAAGACATAGAAATACTGGAAAGTGGCAAAGAAACAAACATGGGTCAAGTCGAGTCCGAACCCTGCTTGAATAATGCTGCTGCAAGCCGTTTGTAGTCTTCGAGTAAAACAGATACATCGCCTATTGTCAGTTCGTTGGCATGTTGGGTTTGGAGAAATCTTTGAATAGGCGGATCGATCTTAGACGGGGCACCGCTGATATCTTTGGAGACTTCTCGAGAAGAAGGTGAAGCCTTGGTCTTTTCTGAAGGAGAAAGAGTGGTCAAATTCCCTGGCGAGTCAGACGTGCTGCGCCCGAAGTTCCGTATCATCCCTGGAATATGATTAAGCGGATTGAGGCTGTTTCCGAAGTTTCTCATTGACTCTAGAGGGGTAGTAGGCAATGATGATAGAGGCATAGAGTTTGGTTGAGAGGAAACCGACGAAGGCTCGTCCTTTAGCGAACCTGCGATGGCAGTGGCCGTTTTCGAGCTGGCCTGCGTCCTCACACTGTCCGTGCTACGATCACGGGGGGTCCTGTGTCCACTGACCAGACCCATGAAGGCATCTTCCGCCCTTGAGCCGATTCGCCGCAGTGGGGGTCGATCCGGAGTCGCCAAAGAATCTTTCACTGCATTATCCCGAGAGACACCCTTATCGACAGAAGGGGGAGCAGTGACCAGACGACGAGCTTCTGCTAAAGTCTTCGGCAAGATTGGATTGCCACCGTCCTTGGCGGATAGTTGGCTAGATTGCAGCTCCTTGAGACGGCCGAACAGGAAGTTGAAGCTGCTATCCAGCGATGCGCTAATATTCTTCAACCCTTGATCGGCAGTGTTGCGAACAGCATCGTTGGCAGCACCAAGCACTTTCGACGGAGGTTGGAACAAATTGTTCAGACGAGGTTGTTGAGGTGTCGCGGGTGGCTGTTGCTTAAGCAGTCTTTCGGCAGTAGCTTCCTTGCCATCCGATTTGGAGATCTCCGGAGAAGCGTTCGCTTCTGTAACAACAGACACGGGAGCCTTGTTCATCCGGCGAGAGGTGTCAAGACTGTCAGAAGTAAGTGTCGTCTCATTGTTCAATTGAACTTTTCCTTCTTGCGTTTCGTCCGTACGTAGCTCCGATAATTCTACATTTTCCAGGAAGCTGATTGCCGCTTCAAGGTTTGTTAAGCAGTAAGCCGTCTCACCATCGATTTTGCTCGACGACCGAAACCGCTGTATAAAGAGAAGATTACTGATGATGTTGATACCTTCCGGTGGGCATGTGACAAGTGTATAAATCAAGGTGGGTAGGATCTCATCAGCGGAGGAGGACGAAGGAAGAAGCTTTGTCAGTGCATCAACGATAGCCTTGTGTGCAGCAGCCAGATCCTGAAGCTTCCCTAAAGGATATTTCGCTTCGTTCATTCTTGCCAGACAATCACGGGCAACGGAGAGGTACCGATCCGCCTCTTTCTGATTCTCTTCATTGATAGTGGTCATGTCAATGTCAATCCCGAGATCCTTCAGATTTATGCCAACCAAGAGCAACGCTGCGGTTTTCGAACGCAATTTCTCATCCCGAATCTCATCCAATGTGCTCGTATGCCTCCAGATTTTGTCATATACACATTCACAAGCTCTTCGCTCGATGGCTTCTTCCAGAGCAGCTCCTTTAGAGGCGAGTGACTTTCGGGCCTTTCGCCGTTCAGTAACCTCTGAAGCCGTCAACATCTGCCGACTAGACGCAACATTGTCTGAATCTCTGTTTGCTGATTTAGACTGGCCAAACCCCCGAGAAGCCCGGGGTGGTGGAGGGTTGGGAGAAGGATCGCGGTTTATTCGAGATGCCAGGGCTGATATGTGAGTAGCGATGTGGGTTTCAGCCCGAACGTAGAAGTCTTGAAAGAGCTGAGATATCTTCTCGATGGTCGGCGGAGAGGAGTGTACCTTGGCGCCTAACGAGTTAACGAACCTAGCAAACAAAGATGTCAACGCTTGAGCAACTTATGAATAGAGTGGTCTGATCTACCGGTCTGTCAGGCTCATCAGTTCAACTGGTAGGTCCTCCCACTGATCCTGCAGGCCCCGAGACAAAACAGAGACCTCTTCGCCCTGTTGTCCATCATCTCCTGCTTCCGATTCTGGAGAACCTCTCTTTTCAAACAAGTCCGGACCATTATCTTGCTCATCATCCTCTGTTGACAATGGAAGAGGAAGTGCGTTAGACTCCACCGACTCTGGAATTGCTACAGATTGGACAGTCTTGGCCCTGGTGCGGGCGAAGGAGCTCAATTCCGGGTTGTCCATTCGCGGAAATGATCGAGCAGTATGGAGACGAGGCTTCCCGGCGTCATTGACCAAAGAATGCGACGACATGACTCTTCAGAGCTAGCACCCTGCGCTTTTAATTACTGAAAGCTATTATGTGGCTCGAAGTCCAGCTGATCGATTCACGCAGATCGCGTAATATCAGCGTCTCCGCGACAAATAGATCAGCGGGTAATCGGGACAGATTTTGAGATACAGCAAAAGAACAAACAAAGAACTGAGATAAGGAGAAATGCAGCAAACAATTGAAGGTATCAACTAGTACCAACAGACATATTAAAAGGGCAATAAAGCTCTCAATAGTGATCGATAGTGACAGAGATGTAGTAGAGTGTATCCGTATGGGGCCTGGAGATGCTGATGATTACCAGTTTTGGGAGTCCCCGCAAATGGTGTCACGCGTTTCCATTACATCACGTGCGCTATCATGTGTCTATCTCCGAACTGCGTCACCACCCGAGCGATAAGTCATCGCCGCTGATAGGCGTCTGTCTGTACGACGATTGCTCCCTCGAGTCATCCTCAAGCTTCCCTTGGATATCGATTTTCATCATGAAAAGTAGCCGGAGAAGGACTAAGCGACACGTTCTGCAAGATATGAGTATATCAGGACTCCTCTTATCTGTTGCCCTGCTTCCGAGCGTCGTCTCCGCTCACGATCGTGTATACTTCGACCCTCCATCGTCCGGTTCACCCTTCCTTGGCCCCCAGGTCCCTCTAACAGGTCCTCCAGCCCTTACGGGTACCCATGAGTTTGTAGGTTTTATGCCTGTGTATCTTTGTATGCGAACACTGATTAGTCTGATCCGATAGACGCTTCGCCACATTTATCACCGAGGTACTCATGACCAACCCGATCTTCACAGGAGGCTCGATATCAAACCACATACACGCCTTTGGGCTGTTTCGGACGACGGCCTTGAGAAGGATCTCGTCACATTCGATACTCCTCTCGTTGCTTCATCAAGCCCTCTTACCATCCAACGCCTCGCGGACCGCCGGCTTTCGGTCATTGAAGGATACCTGGCGGCTGCCAGGTCAAGCGGGGAGGCCGTCACTCTATCGCCGGCAGAGTGGGTGATGGATACATTGGCTGGTCCAAATGTCACAGATAAAGAAAGCGTTCTCACATTCGCAAAGATGACGGCGAACGACTATATTGAGGAACCTGGCACAGAGGACTGGCACTATATACACGGTCGTTTCAACTATTCGTCAAGCTTTGGTTGGCAATCGGATGGATTGAGAGGCCACATATATGCAGATAAAACGAACAGCACCATCGTTGTATCCTTGAAAGGAACTTCCCCGGCCCTGTTCGATGGTGCCGGCACAACCACAAATGACAAAATCAACGACAATCTGTTCTTCAGCTGTTGCTGTGGGCAGGGAGGCTCGTACCTCTGGCGACAAGTTTGTGACTGCCAACAATCAGCATTCACAGCCAACTTGACTTGTATCGTTGAGGCCATGAACGACGAAAACAAATATTACAGAGCCGCCATCGACCTTTACTCGAATGTGACAGACATGTATCCAGACGCGAATGTGTGGTTGACAGGCCATTCTCTGGGTGGCGCGATGTCCAGTCTCCTTGGCCTTACATTTGGACTACCTGTCGTAACATTTGAGGCTGTCCCTGAAGCCCTGCCTGCGGCTCGCTTGGGTCTACCAAGTCCGCCCGGTCACGATCCTAGGCTTCCTCAATCGCGACAATACACTGGAGCTTATCATTTTGGACACACGGCCGACCCAGTATATATGGGAACGTGCAACGGCGTTGGTTCTATTTGCACATGGGGTGGGTATGCGATGGAGTCCGCATGCCATACGGGCCAAATGTGCGTTTACGATACCGTTGAAGATAAGGGGTGGCGTGTTGCACTTTCAACCCACCGTATCAGAGCCGTGATCTCCGACGTCCTCGAGGTATATGAGGATCTCCCTCCTTGCGCAGCTGAGGAGGAGTGTTATGATTGCGAGCTGTGGAAGTTCTTCAAAAGCAATGGGTCTGAAAGCACAACAACTTCGACTACCACCACCACCACCGCTCCTACCACAACCCGGACGTCGACATGCAAGACACCCGGCTGGTGGGGCTGCTTGGACGAAAGCACAACCACCACGACCACCACTACTACGTCCACGACCACCTCGACGTCAACATGTAAAACTCCAGGGTGGTTCGGCTGCAATGATCCGACCACAACGACAGATGCAACTCCCGCCCCATCTGTCACAACCACCATAGCCACCTCAACTACACACCCAACTTCATCTACATCCACATGCAAGAACCCTGGATGGTTCGGTTGTCGCGATCCCACCAGCACGACTGCCTCCACGACATCGTCAACCCCCACAACATCCACATGCGATGATCCGGGTTTCTTCTGGGGTTGCTATGACCAGTCCACCACGGCAAGTCATCCCATCACGTCAGGGCCGACCGCACCATACTCGACCACTTCCCCTACGAACACACACACGTGTACCTCCAGTATCTTCTTCGGTTTGATTTGTGTTGGGTCCACCGGCACCGAACTACGCTAGACTTCACCGACCATCAACGTTCGATAAGGGTGTAGTTGTAGATCATCTCATCCTACCCACCATTTGCATAAACATCATGATGACCGTATACGAGCGACTGCTATTGGCTTGATTCTTTTGGTTTTCTTTTGGCGCGGTGTCTTGAAGGCGTTCTGCGTGAGTGATTCACCTAGTCGTTTGTCTTTGGGGACTGGTCAAGCTTGCTGGTTACATCTTGATCTTCTTGCCGCCAGTGTAAGCTGTTTATTTGAAACTATCATATAATGTAGAGAAACTGGAATTTAGATACCGACTTGTTATTGGAATACACTCGGGATGGTTTATCAGTAGATGTGGTTTCGGCTGTCTTCAATAATTTCACATGCAATCTAGTTGAAATGACAAGTCTTGCATTTGCTTACTACAGGTCGACTTGGAATAAACCCAATGATCTTAATTAGTATCTGGCCATCACGACATCATGCTAAAGAAACAGATATAATCTCAAGCTCTGCGAAGGTAGCAGAGTGGTCCAACACTGGGCCCGTCGTCTTGCCCCATGATGAAGGATTAGAACTTGGATATTAAGTCGGATTGTCCGTAATGACTTTGCTAGGGCTTCATCAAGCTGAAAGACAAAGAGAAGTATCTCTTCCTATTTTCTCCAACCCTGATGGAGCATCCAGAGGACCCAGTGCAGAGTCGAATGCAAATTGTAAAATAGCTACCTTATCTACCAGCGGTCGTTGATAGTTGGTCCCGAAGATGGTGTCTGTGGTTCCTATCAGTAACCAGGTACCCAAGCTCTGTGATTGTACCGACCACAGTGGCTGCTACTGCTACCATGAAAGCTATACAGTGGACTTTGCTGCGGCAGTGCTGTCAGAATGAATCTGGAAATGTCTCCCAATACACAAACATTGATCCTACCACAGACGAAATATGGAACACGTTATGTTGCTCCGCAAAGATATATTTGTCACCGTGGAGACTATAAAGGTGCCCTCCTGGAATGGTTGTAGGCAATACAAGATTGTGTAAGAATGCCTGCCACAGGACATTGAAGTAAATTCAATGTTCAGGCTTGAAATCCTTCTAACTCTCATACTTTCTCATGTCTCATGAGTTTTCTGCTTTCTCTAGGGATGTAGCTAGTGCTCTATGCCGCCGTTCATGTCCGCTTCTAGGCACCTGTGGTGGTGGTGGTGGTAGTAGTAGTAGTAGTAGTAGTGGTAGTAGCAGTAGTAAAAAACGCGCTCCGGATTAGAACTCAATCAAGCCCACTGTGGTGGTTCAGCAAGAAATCTACCTTGGACGGGCCGATAAAGTCTAAGATCAGTAAATAGAGCCGATTCGAGTAGAGAGACCAGATACTGCTCAGACTACCCGAGGTATTACGCGATGAATGGAGACATTCACGAGGCGGCTATCCAGGGCTTCACGGGTATGCTTACATCTCGGTCGAGCGATTCCGTACTTGAAGCCCGGCTAGAGGCCTTGGGTTGAGGTTGATATCGGCCAAACACACCAGAAGGTCATTTCCAGCCTCTGGTGAGAGACCGATTGGTCGACGACATCTTTGAGACCCTTGAAATTGACTTTGCTTGCCATGTGGCGTCGCTATCAAACGCCGTGGGTGTTACAACAGCGATTGACTGCAGTGATCATTATTGGTACGGAGCAGAGGAGATAATGGCCTTCGGGAATGTATCTATCGGCTTGACGACGATTCGATCCAGTCCAATATTGGAGAGGCCGATCGAGTCGGCGAGGTTAAGTTCGACGTGAATTGGACAGACCTCGATATGCACTTTATGTAGATCAATCCGAGTGACAGTTTGTGGGGTACATTAGGATATCATATCCCTTACATGTGGTTTCTGCCAGACGATCAGCTATCTGCAAATGTTGAATGTGGTTGATATTCAGCGGCCATACAAAACTCACCACGGATTTCGGTTTCCGACGCTCAGAAACCGAGATGCCTCGTTTCCTCCTTTCTGGAGCCCGTTCCTTGGATTTTTTTGGTGCTGGCCATTCACATGACAGGCTGAAGAAAGCATATTTCCAACCTTGAAACTTGATTCGGTCGTTGATGCCTGGAAAGTCGCTCGTGGTGACTCTGAAGGCGCATTCCTCTGACCTCCGCAGATCGACTGTCAGAATGCGGGACATGTCGAGTGACTAAATCTTTTCCCCACGCTAGATTTGTGGAGTCTGGGGTTAGAAATGATCTAATTTATGCTTTTAGTTTCCAGCCAGAAGATGAGAAGATGAAAGACATCAGTTTGACTGTCCTGGGTGATTGATGCGAGTGTGCTGGTGAATGGGACTCGGTCGGGAGAAGGGGCCGGATAGCATCAACGACCACCGCAATTTCTACGCCTATAGAACAGAGGCATGGAAGAAACAAGCTTAAAGCCCTAAGCCGGTCTGGAAGCCAGAAGCCTCAAGCCAGACAGCCAGACAGCCATAGCTATCCCAATCCTATTCTCCTAGAAGCTTCGAGCGAATCCCATCACCACGCCCAGCTACACTAACCGGCTAGTAGCCGCTCCGGAAACAAAAATCAGAATCTTCTGTTCCCCGCAAAAAAAAAAGCCTCGTGTCTCGCCCTCCGTGTCCCGTCCAATATCCATTGATCTATTCTCTGGCCTAAAATTCTATTTGCTTCTAGTCCTAACTGAGAGAAAACAACAGAAGATCCCGGACTTTTTCTTTCTCTACTAATCACAAGATACACGATACAACCGTCCAGCCCGCCTCAAACCGGTTCCTCAGCTCGAGGTGGGGGTTCCTCCTCTCGTTCTCCTCCGAGCTCTTAAATTCAGCGAGCGTCCCTAGTCTTTCTCGCTTGTCTCTTCTCCATTTCTCCTGCATGTCACATTGACACGGAACATTCATTCTCTGGTCATTCTAGACCGTGTGGTTCCATTGTACATATCAATTCGCAACTACCTTCTACCCCCCTCGGTTCCGCTGTCAAGGTCAATTGCGCACACATGATGGCTTCCGACAAGGCGCAAGATGCCATTGGGCCAGCAGGGGCGTACGACCCTCGCCGTGATTCCACAGGATCTGCAGCCAAGATCATTCATAATGCCAGAGCGGCGACGGAGAAGGAGCATCGCATGTCGCTCTGGGAAGGTATCAAGACCTACCCCAAAGCCGTCGGGTGGAGCTTGCTCATCTCCACCTGTATTGCCATGGAGGGCTACGATATCAGCCTCGTCAACAATTTCTATGCTTTCCCGCAGTTCAATCGCAAGTACGGTGAGCTCACGGCAGACGGGACATACCAAGTGCCTGCTAGGGTAAGTTCTCCGCCAACCTCTCCTCCTCCTGCGATATTTGTGCTGAGATGTTTGTATAGTGGCAAGCAGGTCTTAGCAACGGCGCTGCGGTTGGAGAGATCATCGGTCTCTTCCTCAATGGCTGGGCTTCAGAACGTTTCGGATACCGCTATACTCTCATTACCTGCCTCATCTTGATCACCGCATTCACCGCCATCTTTTTCACGGCCCCGAACGTACAAGCTCTACTTGCGGCCGAGATCCTCGCTGGTGTTCCCTGGGGTGTTTTCCAGACTCTCACAATCACCTATGCCTCGGAGGTGTGCCCCGTGGCTTTGCGCGGCTACCTGACCACCTACGTCAACTTTTGCTGGGGGCTTGGACAATTGATTGGTATTGGAGTGATCAGATCGATGATCAATCGTGACGATGAGTGGTCGTACCGCATTCCCTACTCCCTGCAGTGGATGTGGCCTGCGCCATTGCTCCTTGGAATCCTCCTGGCCCCGGAATCGCCATGGTGGCTTGTGCGCAAGGGCAGGACCCAGGAGGCTAAGAAGTCATTGTTGCGCTTGACCAGTGTGCAGCAGGACTCGGACTTCAATGCTGATGAGACCATTGCCATGATGGTTCATACGACTGCACTGGAAGAGAAGATCACCAAGGGCGCCAGCTACCTCGACTGTTTCAAGGGCACTGACCTGCGCCGAACGGAGATTGTCTGCATGGTATGGGCTATGCAGAACTTGAGCGGCAACTCCTTCTCGAATTACTCTACCTACTTCCTCGAACAGGCAGGCTTGGACGCGTCCAAGGCCTACTCATTCGCCATGGGCCAGTACGGCATCAACATGGCGGGAGTCTTTGGCGCATGGTTCCTCATGACACTGGGCGTTGGGCGCAGAACGCTGTACCTGTGCGGTCTCTGCGGTCTCTGCGTCATGCTCCTCGTCATGGGCTTCCTCGGCCTGGTCCCAGAGGCGCATCGGGACCAAGCGTCTCTCGCCACGGGCTCTATGATGATTATCTGGGCCCTGGTCTACCAGCTGACCGTGGGGACGGTGGCCTACTCTCTCGTTGCCGAGCTCTCCACCCGCCGACTGCAGATCAAGACCGTTGTCCTCGGCCGCAACCTGTACAACGTCGTGGGTATCATCTGCGGTGTCTTCACGCCATACATGCTGAACCCCGGAGCTTGGGACTGGGGCAACTACACCGGCTTCTTCTGGGGTGGAATCTGCTTCCTCTGCATCATCTACACCTACTTCCGTGTTCCCGAGCCCAGAGGTCGATCGTTCGCCGAGCTTGACCTGCTGTTCGAGCGTAAGGTCAGCGCTAGGAAGTTCTCCAGCACGCAGGTTGATGTCTTCGACGAGACCGTCGAAAGCCAGGTGGTGGACGACTACCATGCCCAACGGATGGCCGGGCTCGGCGTGACGCCGTCGGAGAAGCAAGCGGCGGAGACGACGCTTGCTGCATGATTGATGACTTGAGTTGCCTTTGGGCCATGGTCGTGAAATGACACTGCCCAGATCCGGACATGATGTACTGTACATAACCTTATTTACGCAATATAATTGACGCTTCTAATGCCATTTGCTGGTTCATGTTATATCCCATGTCAACTTGATACGCTCTTCCTGCCTTGATAGTCACTCGACTTGGATATTATTGCAGATCTTACTTAATCAGCTTGCTGAATGTCTAGGCCACTTGCATTTGCAATTC